GTTCAATTCAATTTAGTTCAGTTCTCTTATGTTTCTATTTTTTTAGTTTGTTTTTCTTGTCTTATTCTATTTAGTTGTATTTAATTCTATTCTGGTCTGTTTTGTTCTATTTTATAATGAGATTTTATGTTAATGTTGAATAGAAAGATCTTAGATTTTTGAGATAGTGTGGTCCTGTCTCATTTGATATATAAAGACAAACTTTAGTGGAACAATTAAATTGAAGCATCTTTTGAAGCATTAAAGACAACATTTATTTTTGGACCAATTTTATATCGCATTGACTTTTCCAAGGTATTCTTTATGAAAATAAATGCATTAAACTTTGCTATAAATGTGGTATTGTCATAAATGGGAATAGATAATAAGTTCCACCTCATAGCTTTTCATTTCAAAAAAGTTTTAGTAGCCAAGTATAACTACAAGATCACAAGAATCTCAAGTATATCATGTATATAATTACATGTATATAAATCACAAGAATCTCAAGTATATCATGTATATAATTACATGTATATAAATCACAAGAATCTCAAGTATATCATGTTAGCTTATATTTTAAATCATGTCAAGTTTATTAGAGCATGTCTTTATCAAGATTTGATTTCAAGATCACTTATTGATCCAGAAAAGAAGGTTTGTCAATCTTTCTTTTTAGACATTTTTATCTTACATCCAAAGAAGTAGATGAAACTTTTGATCAACAAAAAATAATTTTCTTGAAGTAGAAGCATTTTCATCTTTGAACAATGAAATCAACATTGATTGTTGATTCAAATTTTTTCAAAAAAGTTCAATCAAGTATTTCCACTAATCTTCTTGTTTATAATATTAAAAATATATTTTTTTAAATCTCATTAGAATTTTAATTTTGAATTCAAAAATTATTTATTCTATTTTTAGAAATAATTATATATTTCACAAGGAAAAAAATACAATTATTTGTTCTTCAAGCTCGTCATAATTTTTTCAACAACCAAATATTTTAGATACGACAAGACTTTGGAGTTAATATCAAGAGATTTTTGGTGGCATGAAATGTGAAAGGTAGTTTAAGGCTTTGAACAATCATGTAATATATATTCAAGATCAAAAACTCCTTATCATCAACCTTTATTTATTTTAGAACAATCATAGTATTCTATTTCTATGGATTTTATTACAGATCTTTTAGTCTCAAGTGTGTAAAATTTCATATTTGTAATAGTAGATCGTTTCACTAAAATGACATATTTTGTACCACATATAAAATTTATCACTTATAAAGAAATAATTAAGTTTCTTTTTGACATTATCTATTGCTATTATAGATTGTCCAAAGATATTATATTAAATAAGGAGACTCAATTTGTATCAAGACTTTAAAGAATATTGTATCAAAAATACAACTTCTTAAGATATTGAATTTTGTATTAAAAATACAACCTCTTCTTGTAGAAGTGGATAATAATCAAGAGTTTAAGATGGAAGGAGTCTTAAATTCAAGATGGTTCTAAAATAGGTTGGAAAATCTTATTCATTGACAAAGATATGATAGTAATGAATGTACATGGAAATTAGCTAAGAATTTTGTAAATGCAACAAAGAAGGTTGATATTTTTCATCAACAACATCCATCAAAATCAAAATGAAGAATAATAAATCTTTGATGTAAAATAAACAAGAACTTAAAGAAAATAGTATTTTACTTTCTATCTTTGTTTGTAATTTCTCTATATTTGTAGGGCTAAGAAGATGGACAATCAACAACTAGTAGAATCAACTCAAAGACTATTGTTTGTTGATTTACCAAATAAGACATTTCAATTGTCACACCTTTCAAGACAATGTAACCAAGTTGAAGATCTTTAAGAATAACAAGTTTTTTCTTTAACAGATGGCAAGATACAAATTATTTTATATCACAACCTTGGAAGAAATTCTCAATGTTTGGTGATTTTATTAGAGGTAGGAATGGTTCTTAATAGTCCTATAAATATTTTTTTAAATAAAGTTACAAAGGCCTCAACAACTAAATAATATGGTAGTCTTTTTGTACTAAAATGGAACATTATTGATAGTTGAAAAGACTTATTAACCACCTTTGAAAAAAACAAAGATCAGAGTATGTAAAAAATATAATTCACCACATCTTGGATTTTTTCAATATATGATGGCCGCTCCTTATAGAATTCATCTTTGGAAGAGGAAAGAAAAGAGATAATATCATAGATATACATATTTATTTAGAGAAGAAGTACTAAATAGAAAGTAAATGTTGATAGATTTGATATCATCTTATAGCACAGCTTCTTAGAAGTTTCAGAGATACATATTTGACTTTATACATATTTATAGTTGATTGATAAGTTAGAAACTTCACCAATAAATAAACCATGTATCACATGTCTAGGTAACTTGAGATACAAGCTAATAATGTGGTGTGCACATAGAAAACTTACCTTACAAGCTAAGACATGTGTCTTACAAATTAAACATGTACTAGATGTTGTATAGGACATTACCACATAACTCCTAATTGATAGTATGTAAGAAGATAAGAATAAAGCCTTCTTCATTCTTATCAATGTCTTTTTAGACTTTAGTCTTGTTTCAAGACTTTAGACTTGTTTCAAGACTTTCTAGTCTTCTTGTCTTTGGCAATAGCCATTCTAGTTTAATATTATATCATCTTTGAATAATTCTCTAATCTTTTTGAGTGATAGACAAGTGTATTGATTTTTTAGTTCTTTAAGATTTATGTCCTTAACAACAAGGGATTCACGCAAGGCCTAAGTAATGCAAAAAAATACATGCTTTGGTCCTAGTAAAAATTATAAAGAAACAAGAATAGATAGATAATTAGCTCAAAGGACAAATTTACAATTCTCACATAGTTGAGGAACATGTGTGATATTATCAAAATTTAAAGAATATTCTTAATATTTTAGGATTGTTTAAAGGCATGTGTGATTTTGGCCATTTTTTCAACTCTATGTAAATATTTGTCAATGTTCAAAAAATAATTACTTTTTAGGATTCAAACGTTTCTTGAGAAGTTAGTACTCTAATTGATTATATCACACATTTGAATAACAAATAGTGAGTTTGTTTTTATCATCCAATTAGTTTTTCACATATGTTTGTTTTATTATAAAAATAGTTTTGTTTCTATTGGTTCACAAAATTATGTGAGATATAATAATTATCAACTTATTATGATCCAAGTATATTTGATTTTAAATGGATTAATAGATAAGAAGTAGAAGTGAACAAGTAATATTCTAAATTATTTTAATATATATAAATAGTATAGGTACCTAAAACCAAAGTTGTAAGTATTTTGTAGGATTTTAAAATATAATCACTATAATTGTATAAAGCATGCATGTCACAAATGTGTCAATATATATATATATATATATATATATATAAAAACATTTTGATAACATTCAAGGTTGTTAATGACTTCTTTACATCCTTTTCAATAAAATTTTATAATTTTTAAAATAATAAATTATAAAATATAATATATTGGTTGATATTTTTAAATATTTTATTTATTTTAAGCTAATTTAGAAAGAATCACAAATTAATAATGAGAATTAAATGGTTTGACATATGCACTTAACATACATGATAATTGTAGCAAATAATTACTATTGAAATTTGGATAGTCTAAGATGATGCTACCATTTTCTGCAAATATTATTTGATTTAAATTTGGATTTTTATTTCAAACCTTTTTTGGTGTGTTGTTTGCATAAACTATAAAATAAAATAAAATAAAATAAAAAAGTTATTTTGAACTATCCTAGATAATTTATCGTGATTAAAAGAATAGATCATTATACTTCTTCACTATGATCCCATACATAAAACTAATAACAAATATAAAAACAATTTACAACTTTTTTACTAGTTTTATTTTAAGCACAAAAAATAATATAATAATTTTAATTGGATTTTTAATAAATTTAAATCTAAACTTCCTGTCTTGTATTAAGTAATATAGGACACAATTTTCTAGTAATGAAGGATACAAGAGGGGAGTGGGGAATTATATGTCTATGAACAGAGAAGGCTTCAGTTCTTGTGCATACTAGAGCTGCACATAAGTATCATTTTTTAAGATTGTAAGTTTTTAAAATGTTTGATTATTTAGGAACATAAATGTCTTAGATTAAGTGAATTCTTCTCTATTAGAAGAGCTTGGCCACAATTTCTTCTTTTTTTATAATTTTTTTTTACTCCAAATAAAAAATATTTTTATTCTGTTATATGTAAGATATAAGGTTATATTCTAAAACACTAATCATTTTAAAGCTTATCTTTTAAGTATGAATAATTATTTATACTAGTTATCTTGAATTACCTTGAATTATCATTAAGCCTGTATATTTGCCAATTAACTCACACTAATATTGTTACATAAAATACAATAAATAAAATTTTGAAGTTACAAGAATATTTAATTGATTAAGTATGTACATTGCAACACGCAAATTATTAGTAATTTAGTTTAAGTTTTCAAAAGTAGATCAACATTAAAATTGAAGCATAATAAAAAGAAAAAAATAATAATGAAAAAAGATATATATATATATATATATATATATATATATAATTTGCAGAAGACAGTTTTTTTAAATAATATTTTTTTACTTTTACTAAAAAGCTACTTAAAACCACCATAATGGGAGCTGCTCACATGTTTGCGTACTTATTAGAGAAGAAACTAGTTTTGAATTTGTGAAACGATTATATGCTCGATAAGTATCATTATAAAAAACACTTTTACTTCAAATGAAAAAGAGGTTCTTTGTTGTAATTTAGACAAGTATCAATCGTTTTCTACATTTCTCCTCCAAATTAGTACATAAACTCAAAACCCCACAAACTTAAAGAACACGAATTTCGGCATTTATAAGCATTAAATTTTAATAGAGTAATCCAAAGACAACCGTAAATTGCTCTGCACAATCTTGTATCGTCATTCATCGACTGTACTGACCCAGGTCTCAGGGCAAGTTACACCACACATGCATTCATGGAAAGAGTCGAATGGATGACAACGCGCACAGTTATTATGAGACGGGTCCCACAGACGTAATTAATGCCTCCAAATTCTAAACTCATAATCCCTCAATAGTGTCGCGGAATCCTATTCACTACATTTTCAAGCCCTTGCGCAGAAATCGTCTTGCTGGTTAAAGATGCTTACTGAAATCTGCGACAATGACGAATCAGCCGGTCTTTCCCGAGTGAAGGCATGATCAAAATTCACTTGACCACTCCATGACAGTTATTTATTTAGAATAAGACACAGATATATATCATTTGAGAGACTATTTCACGCTTCTGAGCTAGAGTATTCATTCCAGGTTAGAGTGATCCATACTTGGTGTGGTATTGGTCCGTATTTTGATTTTATAATTGTTACGATTAACTCGAAAAATGTACATTTTTATCAACTTAACGAACTTTGCAAGGTATGTTCTTTGCAACCTACCTTACCTACCTTGCTTTGGAAGGTCTGCTTTGTGAGACTTCTCATGCTTGGGAGTCATGATGTCACGTTGACCACGACCAAATGCATAAGATGCAAACGAGATGCTGCAGTAGAACAACCCCTTACTCGTGCAGCACATCAGCTGCATAGGCGAAGATTGTGAGAATCCAAAGTGAATCCCAGCTCAAACGTGGACCAAGTGCTGGTCTATTCTCCTATCTAAAACATGACAAGAACAAGCCCGTACAACCACGACGTATTTCAAGGAACATACTCGGACCAAAAGATGAAACGAGAAAAATACAAACCATAAACATCACACAAACAATTCATTCAAATTTGACTTGCGCAAAGCTTCTTTTAAAGTTGCTCCAAAATCACAAAAAGTAAAAACATTATAAAGCAGGCCTGAACGACTTTAGTTCATTTACATATTGAAACTGCTGATTACAAGAGAAGCCGCACACGTTAGAAGATGGACTCGTAAGCCAGAAGAGATACAAGCGAAGCTGCGCACTAAGAGCCGGGTCATTGAACACTCCAAAAGTAAGACGATAGCTGACCCTTACTTAGGTAGCATGCGTACCAACGGGTCATTAGCGGCCAAGCAATTTCCGGCTGGCTTTTGCTCAGAAACATGAAAGCAGCAGGCCTGTGCAACAACCACAGCCTCTCTCTCATCAGTGTGACTAACCAAAGTCAACCGTCATGTGGAAACACTTTTTGGATCTCTATCTGGCTTTTAAGAAGAAAAAAAAATCTCTGATATATGGTAGTATATACCAGAAACGGACACTGACCAAAGCATATAGAGCGGGTGCAAACACGTGAAATGTACTCGAAGCAGGACTCCATAGCCTGTCCTGCAGTGCTTAAGAATCAGTCTTGGCTGCAACAATAATTCTCCTCCTCGTCATCCACTCTTAACAACCAGCAACACTGTTGATGTGATTCTCAACTACATCTCAGCTACACTACTGATAAGATCCTCAACTTTTTCACATAAATATCACATCAAACCCCATGGAACTAGGACATAAGCACATATAAGATCATACTTCCAGACAAACCAACATTCCTACATCAAGGTTAAGCACTCAGGCTCAGACCTATTGCAATGGATTTAGGTAGCACATGAGCCATTGCCGAGGCTCTCGTCAGAACCGACTCCGAATTCACCATCGTGGCCCAGGCGCCTGCGTAAGTGTGAAAGCTCTTGCGACATAGCCCAAAGTCGCTGCTGCAGTGACAAATTCTCCTCCTCCAGGTGCTGAATATGTGTCTCTTGATCAGTGGCCACGCCCTGATGTCTCAACGGAGAATCAGCATTGTACAGCATCTCAAAGCGTTGCAAGCCATGATCAATTCGCTTTTCTAATTGTTGCACAGAATCTGCTGGACGTCGACCACAATGTTCAGCCTCAGACTCCCCGCAGGACGACGAGCCTGAGTCTCGTTCCATGTCGTCCGACCGAAGACGAATGCGTCCGTTCATGGAACCATAAGCATTGACTCCTAGCTCATTCGCTACCTGGCAATCACCCAGACTTTCAGAAGGCCATAACATAGGAGAGATAACTGGCGTTTCCAGCACGGGAGTTGCAGGCGACAACAATGGCGCGTTGATGCCAAGCTTCCCTGCTCTCATCAAGTAAGAACTTGTATTGTAAGGTGCACAAGGAACACGGTTTTTTATTGTTCTTCTGTTCTTACGCCGGGTTTTATGTCGCCGGGGCAGGAGCTGACGCTTGGCAGAAGGGCCAGAGTAGAACCTTGTAGGATTCTGACACTCTGCAGTGGAGCGCATCCATGGAGAATTTTTGCTGTCGAGTGGGGACAGCGACACAAGCAACCAGTCTCGCTGCTTTGAAGGAAATCCCATCTACTCTAGTGGAACAGCTTCAACCGTTCTCAAACACTTGCTTCTTTCTGTGTGTCGGCAAAAGATAGATGCAAAATAAGCGGAGAAATCGAAGCCAACTATTATCCAGCTCGATTGCTGTCTCCACCGCTATATTCCCCGAGCAAGAAGCTCGGAGAGCGAAGCCGGGTTAGCGTCCTCGCTAACCTCTTCAACAACGTACGTCCAAACAGACTAATCGCACACTTCAAATCGTCACACGTCGATCAGAAGCTGCAAACCACGGTACAGCGTAAAAATCAACTGCAAACACCTCCGAAAATCCTCGAAAAGCCACCACCGTAACACACAACAATCTCTCAATCGCGCTCCAACACGCCACGAAACTCTTTAACAAAACCACAACGCACGTTACTCTTATGCGCACGCTTGAAAAAAACTAGGCAAAGAAGGAGATCGCGGAGTTCCCTCAAATCCAATCCGACTTGATCGAGTCGAAATGTGACCGAGGCCTTAAGCGCCTCACCAGAAGACGGACGTCTCGCTCCGCACGATAAGGGGATGAGCGCTTCGCATCGAGGAGTACTACAGGTATTGTTCGAGGGATGGGTTTGAAGACGAGATGGGGATCGGGGCAGACGCTTTACGGGAACAAGAAGACGTCCCCCAACTGCTCAGCTGTCACGAAGGCACGACCCCACTGGCTCCGACCCCCTCCACCACGTGTGCTGAATGAGCCACCGTCTCAGCCAATCAAGGGTTCCCCTCCGTGGGCCCTCTTCCAATGGCCTCTTTAATAATAAAAGTATTTTACTGAACTAAAATTTGATATTTTCTTATTCTTTCCTTTCCATATGTCAAAGAAGCCCCGCGTCATAGATTTAGACATTTATGGTGCACGTCAAGGTATAAAAATTGCTTTCTATTTCATGAATTAGTTTTCAATTAATTGTTCAAACAAACTTAAAACTGCCCGAATTCCATTTGAAATCACAGGTTGATTCTAGAAAGCAACGAGGAAGTAATACTATCATGAATCTGTGACTAATGAGTCCGAATAATTATTGAATTTCAATCCATCATCTCGATTTCTTCTAATATATGACCAGAAGTGACTGTCGAGGATTTGTACTTTGTTTACATTTTGGGTTCTGTATGTTGATTAGCTCAACAATAACTGTGCTGTCTAATGTGGACTTGCATCACATTTCATCCACTTGCTATAAATAAAACACAGACCACTACTATATATGTTGTTGTATGTTGAATACACAATTAAATGTGTATTTATAATAATACGTCTCATTTTTAGATAAAAATTCACAGACATTAGCTGCCCAAAACATGAGAAATGAGGGAAATTAGAAAAAACACAAAAATAATAACAAAATTTCTGATATTGTTGTATGTATGACTTGGATAGTGTTACAGTGTTAACAAACAAGCCATGGTGCAATGATTTTAAAATTAAAACTATGTATGATACATGCACGGGATTTGACAGTAGGAGCATGAATTATCTGAAAAATCTTTGATTATATTCATTTCAATTCAAACTATCTCATTTCACAGCAAATAATGGAAATCCACCATAGTGTTGAATGTACCTTTGAAGCAAGCATCCTCAAAAGTGAGTTTGTACCTCCAAAGGTTTGTCTTTGCCCACAAAAATTCATAGATTTCCTTTTCCTGCATCTAAACCCAGAAGTGGGCTAGAGCAAAATTAATGAAGTTGGTTTTTAAAAGACATCATTCAGTATTTTTTTAGATGCCTAAAGCAAACTTATAACACATTATATATATATATATATATAACCATCATATGAGGGATTAAATATACCTAATGGAAGTCGATAGTGTGTTTGTCAAAGTAAACTCGACCTTCTTATAAATGTGTGGACTTTTATATTTTTAGCCATACATGCATATATTCGTTTATCCAAATTAAACAACAGAGTGTATACAGACTTATAGAGACATGACAGAGGCTCTGTTCAATCTTAGATGCCAGAAGAAGTTGAAACCCTAATCTTGTGGTCCTGCTGTTTGCCCACTCTGGAAGAAATTCAACCCCACATGGGAGGTTTTCGGGTGCTGCCCGAGCTCCCGGGAGAAGGTCAGCCTAAACTAAGCTCGGGTGGATACTTATAATGCCCAAGGGCCAAGGAGGACTCTGGAGCCCTGACAAACCGGGGCTAATTCCACTCACCCACCCTTCTAAGTCATTCTAATTTCAGCCCCGGTCAAACTGGCCGGGCCCAGCCCTACTTGGAGGGTTCACTATGATGGATTCCATCTGCGGTGCATATTGGTGTCTTCTCGATGAATGTAATCGAAATGAGAATGAATGAAATATCTCATCCATCTCCCCAATTTTTGTGCTGGTACATGCTTACCCAGCACGCAACGGGCCCATGATAGCATCTTGTCACAGGCTGCCCATTTTCGCGTTTAGGATGAACAGAGTTCGTGACAAGGTAGGGGATGAGTGGCTGAAGCTTTAGGTTACGCAGGGAGGGACGCGATGGTCTGGTTCGAATGCTGTTTCGCAAGTTCTCGTTCGTCAGATGAACGGTCGACGAATTTACCAACATATTTTCGTTTTTGATGAGTAAAAGATGGTTCATAGTAATTTTTTATTGCGTCCGATGTAAATTTGAAATCGTAATTGGATGGTAATTTCTGCGTCTTACTACAGTTTAATTCTACTCGTGGCATGATGTGTTCTACTATTCTAATGACTTTACAACAAATAATGATTCATTATAAGAGAATAGAATTTAATCTTACGAAAAAAAACTAATTTTTAGAGTTTTTGATGTTATTACATATCAGTTCGAAATTGTAGTTGGTTTGAAAGTGATTTGGATGCATGAGAGTGTGTCACTGAATATGTTTTGAAAAGAATTTTTTTTGGAAAAATATGTAAATGTAATTGAATATATGTATATTAACACTACACCCCTAATTGATATTGCTACACTCTAATTAATACTTACAACAACTAAAGGGAGGTCAAGAAGTTAGCAACCTCCTTGCAGTGGTTTTGTTGACCAATCAGCAAATTAAGTCAAGGGGTGGTACCCATGGAAAAACAATTATTTTTATTCTTTGCCCCAAATAACTAGCTTCACTGCTACATCCCTTACCACTTTGTGAATGATGCACTTCAGCAAAAAAGTAGAAATCTTCTTCATGAAAGAGGTACGAGCAAGTGCAAAAACCAGAGTCAGCTCAAGAGCCTTTGTTGCAACAAGAGTGGGAATAGATGCTATATTAGCCTCAACCACCATAGCTGCAGCTATCACAAGAACAACAACAAGGAACAAAAGCTTGGCTATGGAATGTGACAAAATCATGGGTGATGGAGACAAGGAGTAGTTATGCAAGAAGATAGTATAAGCAAATGTTAATCTTGGAAGTGGTGACTCAATTGGTTATAGATAGGGGGGCGGCTTAAGTACCAAGATGCTAAGGCCTCTAACTGCGTCGAGTCATGTGGCATTGCTTTGATATCACAAAAAATTCCCTACAAGGGTTCTGCCCTTGGAGATTGTTGCATGGCACTACCTCTTGACTGTGCTTGGTGACTGATCAACAAGACAACTGTAAGGGGCTGCTACCTCTTCACCTCCCTGCAATTGTTACAAGAATTAATTATGGTGCAGCTATATCAATTAGAGATGTAGCATTAACAATTCTCTCTATGTTTAAATATAATAATAATAATAATCATAAATTGCATTATCATGATATGAAATAATTTTAGCATATATGGCAAAAAAAATTATCATATTCATTAAAGACAAAATAATTATTGATGTGTAAGAAAAAAAAAAAACAAAAAAACCATTATAAATTTGTCTTTGAAACAAAAGCAATGGTCTTAACAAAAACAATTGTAACAACACAAGACACACAGCAATTGTTTCAACAACAAATCTATCTTGTTATGTGTATGTAAGTATGTTAATTACCAAGAAAGGAACAAACTTTCTTATAAACTCCAATCACAATGATACTCATGAATTTGTTGTTAGTTATGACGAAGTAATGGACAAATCATATCAAATCATTTTATTTTATTTTATTTTATTTTTTGCAATTGCATTGTGGATATCCAGAAATCTAAAGAACCATCTCTGATTCTTGAACATCAGGTCATCAACCAATTTTAATAATTTAATTTTTTTCATTTATATCTACATTCATTCAACGGACACTGCATATAAGTTATTTGTTATGTTTAGTTTTTGGTTTAAGCAAAACTGGTGCAAAGTCTTGAATTTTAAAGAGGTTGTAAATTTTGAAATTCAATGATAGCAATGTTATCAATATTGTGTATTTTTCTCTATTATTTAGTTCAAAAAATATATACATATTATTTTGAGGATGTAAATATACAGACACATGCTCCCCATACAGTACATATTTTGAAAAACCACAATTATTTTTAGATATGCACTTGTTGAAAAGATCTTCAGCAGTAAAACTAAAGTTCAAAACTACCACAATTGATACAGAAGACAGTCCCCAAGATACACACATGTATATATGTGCACATGAATATATATATATAATAACGACAGAATCAAATTCAATATTCATGTGGAGAAATTTTTAAAGAATATTTATGGAAGGAGGCATGAGGTCAACAATTTTAAATCGTTTGGTTAGTTGAAAATGAAAAAGCCTTGCTTAATTGGCTATATTCTTACAAACATCATCCCAAAAGTTACAAGAAGAAAACATGAGACATTATACATTTTTTTCTACATAGAAAGACCAATATTGCTGGTTCAATTTTATTGTATGCTTATTTCAAAGAGGTGTTTTGTACAAAGAAATGGGAGTTTGTGTTGGAAAGTCCAAAAAAAAACTCTGAAAGAAATAAGTATCAAGAACAGAAAATATTCGTGATAATTGATATAATCAAGGTATGATGTGATACAATTAGACTTGTGTTGATAATTGTAGTAATAATAATAAAAACAAGTTGATCCATTTTATGGAATATTTTTATTACATATTATCTCCGACGTCTATTTTTTCTAAAAATATAACACTACTTTACCAAAAGTACAACCTTCGTGAGACTTTGTCCCATGGCCTTTTTAAAGTGAGTTTCTAGATATTAAAACCCTGTAAAAATAAAAAGTAAATAAATTTTCATCAATAATTTTTTTTCAACATAATTAATATCGAATCTACTAGAAATGTCCTTTCAATGTTGCAATGGAAAATTGTTAATGCCCTATTTTGGCAATCCAAGAATCCACAAGTGGCCAATGTTTATCAAGATCAGACTCCATATCACCACCACATCCAGTAATTGGAAGAGGAATATGTTTGCCCCTCTTTTATAATTCAGCCAGGACCAAAAGCCCTAATTTAGGTTGTGAATTCAAACCATAATTGTGGTGACCAGGATTGGAATCCTTATCTAGTTCTAGGTTTCAAACCTTTGATCCAAGTCCACGTCCTAATCTAGGTCTGGGCTTGGTAATCAATGGTGGGGAGGGGGGTGCCATTTTTTGGAGGGTCCCATGGACTTAAAAACACTGTGAGACACACATACAATGTGGAGACCCAGCAGGTCTCATGTGATTGTCCCCAATCAGAGGAGAACGCACTT